TGTGCCAGTTATGTCCCCTCCCAAGATCTTGCCCTGCCCCAGCTTGCCATTAAGGTGGAGGGGGGGCAAAAACGTTGGAGAGACAGCCTTGATGCTGTGCCAGCACTGCTCAGCAGTAGCCAAAACACTGGTGTGTTATCAACACCTTTCTAGCTGCCAATGCAGAGCACAGCACTATGAGGGCTGCTAATGGGGAGAACTGACGTCATCTCAGCGAGGCCCAATACAGTTATATAATTTTTTTTCGTGACCGGATCACTTGAACTGCATTCTACTACTTCTGTAACTGGACTGGTTTGTTCAGTGGGAGAGCAAGATGCACAATAGTCATATTAAATAACCTGCATGCTTTATTGTAGTATAGTTAGGAAATGGATTTATGGGCTATTAAATATTGTTAGAGAGTCATAGATAATCTTAATATGAGTTTATATAGAATAATAATAATACTGCAAGTTTTTGTCCTTAATATGAAAATGTTTTTGGCATGTAGTATTGGGGCTGGGGGGGAGCTGTAGTATGTGAAGTGTGGTACAGTATGGTCATATGTCTGCCAGTATTTTTGACAGGCTGGATTATAGAGAGAATGTAGTAGGGACAAAGCTTTTGGTAAGACTTGAGCGTAATGAAGGGTAACCTGGAAATGTAACTTTTTAATGTGAGTAAATGGTGCTGGAAAATTGGCCAGTCCCTTAAGATCTTTTAATAATGAGTGGAGTTTACAGAAATAATTTGAAGAAAAAAATTTCTGAAATTAATATATGTGATAATGGAGGCAAAAAAGCTGTAATAGTGCATTTAGAATGTATTTTTTTATTACTCTAGGATCATTTCTGACATAGCTGGTTTTAGTGAGCCACTTGAATGATCTTGATTGCTATGAAGTTTTAATAGCTAACACTTAGAAAGCGTTGTAGTTTAAACAAATGTTAACTTCAAAATCACATTTCTTCTTTACAAAACTATCCCAAATTTGGTGTGTCTCTTACTTTAAAATTTTTCTATTTTTTAAAAACATGTGAAAGAATGTTAGGAGGTAAGGTTGTGGAAGTTCCTGTAAAATGGTGGCTTTTTTCTAAATGGGCTCTTAGTATTGTGTCACAATATTTTTACTATATAAAGTATTTAATCTTCCTCCTTTATGAAGCCATTGAGCTCTCACTTCAGAGCACTAGCCCTTTTCTTCATGCATGACTTGAAAGAAGTCCACGTTTTGTTATAGTTGACTAAAAACAAAAAGAATGAAAGAGAAACATGGGCCCTAATGTACATTCTTACATGGGGAAAAAGCTAATAGAGAGGAGGGATTTTTGGAAAACCAAAGGTTTGCATCTGAACTTCTGATTCAAATCTTTCTTTCATGACTATATTGATTCTCAGTGCCTTGCTAAACCTGATAACCTTTTGGAAAACAAAAGACTATTGGGAAAAACAGTATTGGAGGTAGATATGATACCTTCTTATGCTTTGAATAGAGGCCCTTTTTTTAGGAGCTGCCCCAGAAATTTCTGCAAACACATTGGATTGTATTGAAAACAAAAAAACTTAACTGGTTTACTAGTTCTGGTCCCGAGTCAGTATTCTCAAAAGTGTAAAAACTTCAGCAGGCAATTAGCAAAACTTCTTAGGATGAAAAAATTGGCCAATGTTTTAAGAACTTCTAATGAAAGGAGTTAAGGCAGAAGGGCTTTTGTAGGCTGTGAGTGGAGATGATGTTTCAAAGCTACCAGGCCTTCCTTTTGCACTCACAGTATATTTGCAGTATATTGTTCCCTCCTTTAGCTTCAGTAAGATTATTTGTCAGATCTAAACATGAGATAGATAAAATTCAGCCTGAATAAAATGTCTAGCTTTCTTTTACCTCTCTTTGCTGTAAGATTGCTGGGGGTGGAGGGGAGTAAAAATGAGGAGCATTTTCAATCTTTCTTTATAAATAAAAAAACCACAGACATCATTGACCCAATGAAATTAAGGCAACATTAAGTGGGACTTGAGTCACGGTAACATGAGTCAGGCAGTGAATCAGAAAATTCAATTATTTTGCAAGGAAGAGTGTGTATGAGTACGTAGAATTGTTTTGCTTGTTGTACAGTTTTCTCTGCATTAGGCAAGCACCAGCTTGCCTGAAATGTAGATCAAAGAGTCCAGCCAGTTCTCAGCCATCCGCAGAGTATTAAAAATGGTTGTTCCCTAGTGTGATGTGTATATGAAATATTTGTAAATAATAAATATCTAAGAATTGTTAAAATAGGAAGTTAAATGTAACAGTGAGATATTCGTTTTTTGTTTGAATTGTCGTCTTTCATGTATCTTTTCCATAGCATGATTTGTCTTTTGCTTCATTCTGCATAATGCTGATTGTAAGGTGAGAGTAAGTAATCAATGGCTGAAAAAAAGGTTGCTTGTATCCCCTCAGAGGTCAGAAATGTGCCTGTTAGAAGTTTCAAAATACTGTCTTTTCTGAAAAAAATTTTTTTTAGGGAATTAGGAGGTAGACTTTTCCACAATAGTGAGTAACAGTCATGTTTTTTGGCAGTCTGCTAGTTTGAATAAAGTGTATATTTTAACTGCTCATCTTGTTGTATAACTAAAACCTAATTTCCTTAAATGTTTCATAGGCACTGTTTTATCTGTCCATCTCTTGGAATTGTGTGACTGACTTTTTACACCAGTATGGGATGCTGCTCCAGGTCCAGAGAGATTACTTGGTGTAGCGAAGCTGACGTTTTCCCCAAATTCAGATGAAATGCAGGGCAGCAAACAGGGTTATCTGTTTAGAGGTGAATGCTACTTGCATTGACTTAAGTCTCCCTTGTGTTAACAAATGCAATTTCTTCAAGAAATTCTACACTGTGCTTTATGCTGCGTAGTGGGGGAAAAACCCCAGACTTTTGCTTCTTAATGTTTTCAGTGTTTTTATGTGTTAGAAATTGTTGTGACACTGCAGCTTTAAATTTATTGTTAGAACTAATTTCAATGTGATTTCAGTAAAATTAGTTTTTATAATACATTGTTTCAGCCAAGACAATGATCTGTAAATGGGAAAATTACTATTGTCTTCTGACTTGTTTGATGATGAAACTAAGGGGAATTCTATGTTTGAAACATGTAAGGCCTTCACAAGCCTTTGTAGCCTAGATATTGAAGTTTGGTCTTACAGTTAAGAGAGAAATGAAACCTTTTGAGAATGGTATTGACACCCTGTAGGGAAATATGTCAGCTGCAAAAATTTTTACACTGTCATGCTTCTTGGCCAGAAAATGTCATTAAGTCCCATCTTTCCCTTATATCACTTAATTTGAAAACAACAAACCACATGTGTGTAACGTAACTGCATTTTGGTCTGTGACTTTGATGTGTATTAGCTGTGTTTCTATTACTACTTCTGCTCTGTAACGTACAATACATTACTTCTATTGCCATGAAGAAACTTAGGAAAAAAAAAATACAAATGTTATGTATAGTGATTGAGAGATTCCAATTTTTGCTATTCCACTTGCTGAATTTTACAACCAACCTTCTCATTAATAAACCCATTTATTACTAATAAATGAGTGGAGATTGTTAATGTCTGCAGGAAGTTCATTGCACACTCTAAAATTGGGCATTAGTGCTTCTGGTATTTATTCCAGAGTCAGATAAAATAGATCTATTAACACTCACAGCAGCCTACAAAATTAGATATTTGCAGAGATTTTCTCCTTTCTGAAGGCCCAAGTACCACACTTAACAAGGTTTCTTGAGCAGTGCACAGTGCATAATGATGTTATAGGGATGCTGCACATAAGATTGTCTTTCTTGTATTGGCATCACTAATGTATATATAAAAACCACATTGGTTTTTAAAGTGTAAGAAACCTAATACTGGTACCTAAATAAACGGTTACACTGTTAATAATTTTTAAAATGTGAAAATCAAATTTACAAAAATGCTTTTTAAGTTGCCTGATACCTTCAAGTAAAGGCAATTTTTTTTTTTATTTATTTAAGTGTTTATGTGTTAGAGCCTATAAGCAATGTTTATGTAACAGTGCTTAGACTTATACATCAGCCAGCTGGTATAGCCAGATAGTCAGTTTTTGTCTTTTTTTACTTTTTGGAGGTATTTGTGAGTAGCTTGATGTTTTTGACATCTGTGTGACAGCTTCTTGCATAAGAGATGAGCAGCATGTTATACCACCCAGCTGTGTGTATTAGTCTGTACATCAAGCTGAAGAGCGGCACTTAGCCAGATCTGACAATCAAATGTGAACTAGTACTACCTATACACAAGAGTGCATTTTAATGTTGTGTGCTTTTTGCCAAGAGGCTGGTACTTGACAAAGAAATTGTCAGAATCTCTCTTCTTCCCACCTCTTTTTTTTTTATTTTTTTCCCCCCACAGATGTGAGTCCATGTTGAAATATATATTTTTTTCCTGCAGTTTAATATGGTTTATCTTACAGATAACAAAGCCAATCTAATGTTTTCAGTAATTTCATGGAATAAAATTCTAGCAAGCTTTTTGTAATAGGGAAGTGTTATTGGTTTAGAATATGCAGCAAATTAGCGTGTCATTTTCTGCCAACTTAATCTGAAGTTACATTATGCTCGGTTTCACCAATGACTTTATGTCAACATACCAACAACCTGTCCCCAGAGAAAACTAGGGACCTAGAGAAATTACATTGCTAGTTCATAAATTTCAGTGCTGCTCTTCTCAGTCTAGCTAAGAGTCAGTGATCAGCAGATTGTGAGTGCAGAGATGAGTGAGAGCTACCTGCTCTTATTTTAGTTTGACTTATCTGTTAGACCTAAACCTTAAAGTCTTCTATACCTCCTCATGATTTTAAGCCTCTGTCATCTTCCTTGATGTTTAAATTTGAATAAATGAAATTCACTGTCACAGAATAAAATACATAGTAACACTCTTCATAGCTGAGCTTTCCTTTTTTATGTATTTGCTGTAAGTCAGGAGTTAGTTACTGCATGTAATATTTCTTTCTTCCTTCCTTAAATAGGATTGCCAGAATAGGGAGGATCTATTTTGACCTGTATATGCGACCCAAAAAGATTACGAAAAGGTGAATTTACAAGAAGAAAAAGAAAAATTTAACAATGAATTCTTTTGTCTGCGGAATAGTCAATTTGCAGTGACATCTAGGTGATGAAATGTGTAGTTGTTCCCATATAACTTGGTTTTATGAAAGTGTTAGTGATACCCTTTTTTAACTTATTCAATGTTTTCCTTTTGTATTACACCCTTATCATTCTTTTGAAAACTGTATTCCATTTCCATCTGGTCTTGCTCTCGCAACATAAAAGTATTGAGCGAGCTGCAACTTCAATTATTTCTTGTGACACTGTTTATGTAGTTGAAAATACTGCAATAAAATAAGAATTTGGATCCTGTTATCTGAAATATTTAAGCATTATGGCAGATGTAGTTTTATGAACTTTGAGTTGCATTTTTATTAGTAAATACTTGTCAATGATCAAAGCTTGAAAAGAAACCATCCTTGCAAGCTAAAAGAAAGAAGAAATAAAGGAAACAGTGTAATAATTTTCTAGGCCAATACTTCCACTGTAACAATTTTTACACTGTTGTTAATCTGTATTTACATCATGTTGAGTGAGTGTTGGATTAGACTGTGGATAGATAAATGTGCATGGACTTGTCATGGATTGGGATTGTTTGATTCCAAAAATCTGATGGCATGTTTCAAGCATCTCTTGCACTTTCCAAATCTTTAGCTGCACAATTAATTTTATAATGCATACAAAAATTGTATTTTTATTTTTTTTTTTTATAAAAACCTTGAAAATGCAGTTTGGGGAGAATCAGGCTTTTATCTTAGCAATTTCTTAGTGGTTGTGTTGATTAAACATTGGTGGAGATACTCTTGGTCTAAAACAGAAGTAAAAAGGGAGTTAAGAGAACAAGGGGGACAGAGAAAACCTGCTCTTCACAGTCAGCTGGTTCTTAGCGTGCTGCCAGCATCAAACCAGACTTCTGGCTGTCTGCTGGGATGGCAGTTCTTGAGGATAACATTTTAAATATTGTCAGCTTGTAGGGACTTTGGTATGCAGTAGGTAGTGTTTTCTTTTTCCTTCATACACCCATTTCAGGAAACATTTTAGAGTATGCCCAACATTGAGGCTCATTGTTTTAATGAAGTATATGATTGAGCCATGTAATGTAATATGAGCTTTGTACCCATTGGATCCAGAAATTGAAGTAGAAAATAAAATGAAAAAGAAATCAGAAATTAGTATCTAGGTATAAAGTAGGCATAGTTCTGAAGAACATAAAACCAAGATGGATTTTCATCAGTATAATAAGGACTGATTATCTAAAAAAGAATATAGGAGGAAAAATACTCACATGCTCTGAAACTACTTAACCTGAATTACTGCTTTGTAATTGGAAAAGCTCCACCAGTTTTTTTGCATCCATTTTTCCTTATTTAATTTTCCAGAATTGAAGGCAGTAAGAGAAATAATTGCACATGTTTGTGTCTTTTTAATACAACTACTTTTATACTTGGCTGTTCACGTCTTGGGTTTTAGTCTAATTTTCTGTTTCAATTTTACCCTTCCAAAACAGAAAAAAAAGCTTCTTGAAGAGCTTGGAGAGAATAGACTTCCATATATGACACCAGCCGATGCTGATTTCCATCAGTTGGTAATGTATTTGCTTTAACCGTACTTTTTTTAAACTAAAATGGCTGTTTGCACTGAAAAAACCAAATAAATCTTTCTTCAGAGAGACACTGTGAAATCTGATATGAAAAAGGTATCCTGATGGCTGATAATGTACTTTCAGGTGGTATGAAATAAGATCTCTAGAATTGAGATATTCAAGAATAAAAACTTAACTTATTTTTAGGATTTTGCCCTGAGTATCAGTACCTGAGTACCAGGTAATACATGTAACAATGAATCACAGTTTCTTATGCTTTGTTAAAATAAAATACATGTCACCATTCTTTTAGAGATTTGGGGGTTTTTTTTTGTTTTTTTTTTCTGAGTTGTGAAGAGACCTATTCTTTATAGTTCAGGTTTGGCAAAATAGGGAAAATATTAACATAGAAAATTGAAATTTTTTAGTTTAATTCTACTTTCAAACAATAAGTAACCCTTAAGACTTTGCTTACAAAATGAACTGTGGAAATTGGAATGCATGCCTCAAATGAAACCAAATAAAAGTAAAAACAGGCCCAGTAGCCACATTAGTAGTAAACCGAATGAGTGTATGGAAGAGTATCATGAAATTAATAGATTATTCTGCATCTATCTTGGATCTTTCTAGGTCCAAAACATCTGGCAAGAATTGTAGGTTCAATCAGATCAAATTGGAATATGGTAAGATGAAAAGCATAAGAAAGAATCTTGTAGTTTGAACAGCTACAGCAAGTGTGCTTATGTTACAGGCATGTCACGTTTCTTGTATTGATATATGGCTCAAAGGTGTCTATGGTAGCATAAAAATAGGTCTGACTCTTTCCTTGCAAGGATGAATTTCTCTTTTGTAGGATTCCAAGACCAAGAAGCCAAGAAGGGTTTAGCACACATCACACTATAGGGAAGGAAGGATGCATTTATGGGTCAGGTACTGGACTGTGGGTCAGAAGCATGAAGTCAAACTCCAGTTTTGCCATGGGATTATAGTTGTGATATTGAGTAATCTGTAGACTTCCCTCATGTTTCCCATTCATTTAGGTTGTAGGATGCTTAGGGAAAGCATGGTTTTCTCTGTATTCTTACAGTAGTGAACATAGTGGAAGTAAGCTCTTGATTGGGATCTTCAACAGCTGTAAGGATAATAATATGAAAACACATAGCTTGCTGTTAACTATAAAAGCACTTCTGTGGGTAAGGGCAAGGAAAAGTGTAGAAGAGCCTAACAGAATGATTATTTTTTTTTTATCTGCAAAAACCCCCACCCTAAACACATTCTTTTCAGTCTTAAACTAATGTTCAAGAAGCAGCTGTTCCCCCTTTTGAGACTCAGGCTTACTGTTTTCTCCTTCTTAGTCCTGTTACATCCCCTTCTGTTTCTTCTTTTATATCTGTTGCTGCCAAGAGCTGCTATGCCTAGCATCTTTTCCTTTTTCCCATCTTTGTAAATCAACAGTCTCGTGGAGCTGATGTGAAAAGAGAAGATGGAGCCAAGGTTGCCCAAGTGGCATCTCATTTGCTTAGTATCAGTGTCATGGTTTAACCCCAGCCAGCAACTAAGCATTATGCAGCCGCTCACTACCTTCCCCTTCCACCTAGGGGCATGGGGGAGAGAATAGGGAAAAAAAAAGTAAAACTTGTGGGTTGAGATAAAAACAGTTTAATAGAACAGAAAAGAAGAAACTAACAGTGATAATGAGAACACTAATAAAATGACAATAGTAATAATAAAAGGATTAGAATATACAAGTGATGCACAATGCGATTGCTCACCACCTGCCAACTGATGCCCAGTTAGTCCCTGAGCAGCGATCTCCCCACCCCCCCCACCAGTTTATACACTATATGTGATGTCCCATGGTATGGAATACCCTGTTGGCCAGTTTGGGTCAGCTGCCCTGGCTCTGTCCCGTCCCAACTTCTTGTGCCTCTCCAGCCTTCTTGGTGGCTGGGCATGAGAAGCTGAAAAGTCCTTGACTTAGTCTAAACATTATTTAACAACAACTGAAAACATCCGAGTGTTATCAACATTCTTCTCATACTGAACTCAAAACATAGCACTGTACCAGCTACTAGGAAGGCAATTAACTCTATCCCAGCTGAAAACAGGACAATCAGTAACCCATAAATATAGAAGACAGTGGGAACAAGATAAGCAGTGAAATCAGACCTGTTCAAGCCTTAATAGAATTTAGATACATTCTTCTTGCATCGTATAGAATTATACTTTTTGTGTAGTGTTTGTGTGCATGCTAGATATTTTTAAGTATATGTTAAAATCATAAGCATCACAAGCACTTTTTAAATTTTTAGGGTGGTTATGAAATGTTACTTAAATCACAGCTATAGATATTTGTGCTGGTTTTGGCTGGGATAGAGTTGATTTTTTTCATAATAGCTAGTATGGGTAGTTAAACCATGACAGTACTACAAGTTCCATGATGCTTACATGTACTACAAATGGAGAGGAAAAGAAGGGTGAGGGCTTGAGGGCAACAAATTGGCAAAATAAAATTTCACATAAGGTTTAGTTTTATAGTCAGTCTTTCCTGCAGAGACCTACCTTACTTCTTGAAGGATCCACCCCTTATAAAGCAGTATTCTTTGAACATGTTGGAAAGGTTAGGTAGAATGCAAGTAAAAAACTACACTATCCTGTCAGGTGTGGAAATGTGCAGTCTGAACAAAACTAAGAAATTCTGTCCCAAGCCAAACTTCACTGGCATCTTCTTTCATTGTGTCTCGCCTGATGAAGGATTTTAGAAATGGGCCTCAAATCACAGGCTGAAATAATGTAATCTTCAAAGCCAGTTATGAACAAGAAAAAGCCAATTAACAAGGCCATTCACAAATATCTGAAGTACAAATATAAATTCATGATGTAAGTGGCAGTTTGCTTATCAAGGGCCCTTATTGCTGATTTCTAACTTTATTCTGTCACTTGTGTCATCCTGTAGGGTGATTCTCTGTGTTGAGTACCACCATTAGAAGTGAAAGCATGTGTATATTTAACATCATAGAATTGTTTAGGTTGGAAAAAGACCTTCAAGATCATCAAGTCCAGCCATCAACCATGCCCACTAAACCATGTCCTCAAGTTCCTTGTCTACGTGCTTTTTGAGTACCTCCAGGGATGATGACTCCGCCACTTCCCTGGGCAGCCTGTTCCAATGCCTGACAACCCCTTCAGTAAAGAATTTTTTCCAAATACCCAATCAAACCCCCCCCTGCCGCAACTTGAGGCCATTTCCTCTTGTCCTATCTCCAGCCACCTGACAGAAGAAACCAGCACCCACCTCACTACAACGTCCTTTCAGGTAGTTGTAGAGAGTGTTAAGGTCTCCCCTCAGCCTCCTCTTCTCTAGACTAAACAGCCCCAGTTCCCTCAGCCGCTCCTCATAAGACTTGTGGTCCAGGCCCCTCACCAACTCGGTTGTCCTTCTCTGGACACGCTCCAGCACCTCAATGCTTGTAACATTCATATGAAGAATTCAGCATCAGTTGTGCTTGCTTTTTTTTTGTCCTGTAGTTGCCAGCAAGGTACTTACTTCTTTCAGAGAGAATAGCGAATTAACCTTTAATACTTGCTGTCAGAGTTACAACACAGAGTACATAATTACTCTCCCTTCCCCACCCCTCCAAAACAATAAGATGTCCAGTGTGAACCCAGCATTCACCCTGTGTTCTGATGGGTTAATGCTATCCATATGTAGGACATAGCACAGTGATTAGTTGGAGATTTAAAGAAGACCAAACTGTTTTCATGGGATGTGCTGGAAATGTGTTTCCACTTCCTGCTTCTGAGATATCGGGGGGGGGTTGTTGGGTGGGTTTTTTGGTTTGTTTTTTATTCTTTGTTTGTTTGTTTGTTTTAAGGCAGAATCCTAAGTATACTGTGTGAAACTTAATGATAAAATAGTTCTTAAGCATGTAATCTTAAAACACAACCCAAGGGTAAAATGCCTCTGACTTGGCTGGCAACAAAATGTGGAAGACATTACTTGTGCAGTTCAGGAGGGGAATACAATGTTGTTACCTTTGTAAAATCTGTGTGCTTCCTCTCTACTGCATGTTTTCAGGTATTTAGTTGCTTTACATCGTATTGGTGTTTCTCTCCTCCTGTTGTAATAATTGTTTCGAATTTCAAGTGTGCAATTCATATCAGAAATTCAGTACATTAAATGGTTTAAAAATACGTTGTAATAATGACTTTTAAAATATGCCATAACAGCATATGTAATGTGGTAATTGGTTAATCAGACCTGAGTATCTCTGATATTTATTAACATTTATTTATTTAGAATTATTTAAAGAAATATGGAGATACTGCTATAGAACTGTTAGGGCTCTTTCTTTTATACATATCATTTGCATAGTGAAACAAATCATACATTAATAATCTTCATATGTCACAACTTACAACGTTCTGTCATGATTAAGTATGATTGTGAAAGAATACTTATGATTCCCATCAACCTATACCCACACATCTGACTGTAACCTATAGCTGCAAATTCTTAAAATTTGCAGTTACTGATTTAATTAGTTATTCTTTATAAGGATTTTTTCACTGTACTATTCAAAGGTTACAGATACAAAGCACTGACTGAAACAAAGGGGACAGTTCAGGACCTCTAAAGGAATTGTTTCAGGCTTTTGGCAAGCTCAGGCTAATTGCGTTTATCAAGTTTATATTCAGTTTTTTTTATTGAAAGCTGGGATCCAGTGTTCTATGTTGGGGATTGTAGTGGGACCTTTAAACAGATATCTGGGACTATTTTCAAGTTTTGGTATTTAAAGTTAAGTACATAAGTATTACTGTCAGAAACTATTATTATCTGTAGGTACTGTTACGTGATTTTTCCTCTCTCTAGGAAGCAAGTTTTTGGAAACCATAAGAATGTGTAAAGAAAGGGAGTTAGCTTCACTGTAGAAAATCACAAGAAATGGTGGCAAGGTTTATAGATAAAATAAGATTTATTATGTGTAATCATTATTTTTAAAATAGACTTTCTTTTATGTTCCCCTTTTTAGTAGAAACAAATGATCCTATAAAGCCATCCCTTCAGTGTTGTAGAATAACAGCATGTTATGATGCAAAAGTCTAACTGTTTTCATGCAGTGGAAAATGTGCATACTGACTTACTGCCTACTTTGTGTTTTTTAAAGGCACCTTTTCTGGATTTTAAAATTAATTGCCTGAAAGGCAGGTTCAAATCTGACTTGGAAGTAGATAGTACTAGTAAAGTGGGTTTGAGTTGTACCAGAAGGAGCCCACAGATGGATCGTAGGTTAGTGTGCTGCTTTTGTGCTGGTGGCATTTATTTGTTTTTTAAAAGCACTTTGAACATAAGCTATTATGTTAGTAAAAGTTTTGATCATCAGTTTTGTGCATCCATATGCTGTTGCCGCATTGCTTAATGCCTTCAGATTTCAGTTTACCTGATTCTTTTTTTCCCTCAACACCATCAGTATCTACCTCTTCCCCAGACTAGAGTCTAAGTTCTGGACAAAAGGAAGTAGGTGTAGGGAGTTGTTCAGAGCTTCACACCTGCTAATTAATACCTGATAGGCTCACATTACAGCCTTTCCCTTACTGAGGGCACTAGTTTGCATCTGTTTCTTTTATTTATCTATTAATTTTAATGAAATACGTGGGAACTTAGTCTCTAGCCTTTGTCTGGTTTGGCAAACAGTCTCAGCAGTAGTTAAAGCAGATTTACAGGCGACCAATAAAAGGTGTGATTATGTGATACTCACTTCCTTAGAAAACCAGATTAACAAAATAAAATTATCCAAGCCTTCTTGGAGTTGGAAGCAGTATTTTGCATATAAGCAAGATACTGCTGATTAGCAGCGTTATACCTTGCTGGGAGCTGTTGCCTCCACACACTGCGGGATTCTGAACTCCAGCTGATACCAGAGCTGATGTGGCCAGAAGAGGGTATGAGGAAAAAGGATATTACATGTGGGGAGATGAGGAGGAAAATAAGTTTGGAAATTTGCTTTTATCTAGAAGGGGAACTTTTATATAAAAATAAGAGACCTAGTTGGCATGCATTGAGGAATGTGAAAATAGAAAGGACCAGTATGTCAAGGACTATTTTGATGATAGAGGTGCAGCACAGCAGAACATTGGCCTTTTTTGAAAAGTTACATTTTTATTTGTTATTTTTGCCCTAAAAATTGTTGTTATATGAAACTATTTCAGTTTATCATGTAGCTCTCTAGAATTCTGTACATCAGAATGAGACAGAATGGTCTTTGCAACTGTTGCAAAAAGAGGAGTCGCTTTGTTACTGCTTAATGTTCTATTGTTTGTATACTTAAAGGTAATATCTACAGATTCATCAGGGGAGCTTATATGTTCCATTGATTTCTGCAGAATCCTCAGATATATTTATTTATTTATCTAGAGATTTGCCCTGGTGATACTCTCTGGTTACAGGCCACTGGTATAGATCCACAGTTTCTGCAATATATTGGAATATCAAAACAAAGTAACAAACACTGGCATCTATTTCTTCACCATATTCTAGACTTATGCTTGATAACTTGTCAACTCAACCTTGTCTGTTCTTAAATATATGAAATACTTTGGTTCCTGTAAAAAGAATAATCCTTTTTGTTGTTTGTTGGTTTGGTTTTTCTCTCCTTTAGTGGAAGACCAAATATTCCAAGCTGATTTTCAGAAAATCTGATACAGTACCTGAAGAGCTCCATCAAATGGTACAAGAAGGCTTTCTGACCTTGCGAAAACACGATTGTTTCTTTCAAGATCTTGTAAGGATCAAAGGAAAAGATTTTGTTACCCCAGTGTCTCGTATATTAATTGGAAACCCAGGATGCACTTACAAGTACTTGAACACAAGATTATTTACAGTTCCTTGGCCTACTGAAGGTTATGATATAAAATATTGCAGTCCTCAAGTACATGATGCTTGTAAAGCATTAATCAGACTTAATGACTACTTGCATATTGAAGCAGTCAAGGCATTACAAGGGCAAAATTTGTTTGAGACCAAAGAAATTAAAGATAGTACTGTAATAGATAGGGAGCAAAATTTTGCTACTACTTTTATGGATAAAGGGTCAGTTTCAAAAGATCAAAGCAGTTGTTGTGTATCAGAGGATGACTACATAAGTCTAAAGAACAGAACATCTTATAACTTGACTTTATTAAATTATATGGATCCACTACAAATGCTATACTTGAAACAAGAACCTTATTTTGGAATGGGGAACATGGCAGTGAGCTGGCACCATGACGAGAATCTGGTTGAAAGGTCAACGGTTGCTGTGTACAGTTATAGCTGTGAAGGTGAGTGATGGGAGGTATGAGTTAACTAGTGATATAAATATCTTAAATCCTTGAAGCTCTTTTATGTTTCCTTGTGTGTATGTACATAAGCACACCTGCATGTTAATCTAGATTTGTCACGTGCTTCTGAATCCATTGTGGTACTTTTTGTATTTAAGCCCTATCTTTATTTCTACTAAAACCTATACAAAATATACCTGTGTTTACTGCAGCTGGCTTATCAGTTGTTCTCTAAGTAGTTTTAAAAATTGATATGATTAACTTCCTGACTAAGAGCCAGGAAATCAAAATCTGTCAAATACTTATTTCAGGTTAACGCATGTGCGTATTTGCTATCTTGTAAAATGTTTTGTTGTAGTTGAGGTCACCATCTTTATTGTGTTATTTATCATATACAGACTTGCTTCTGCTTTATGCTGATTTTACTACTCTTCTTTCTTTGGGAAGATCATTTTAGGTTGGTTTTGTATGAAAGTATTACTGTATTTGCTTGGAAGTACATACATTTTGTCTAGGCATGCTGTAGTGCTAATAATGCATGTTTTGCGGAGGACTTGCCAACATTTCTGTAGTTGGGAAGGGTGAAAGTTTTCCATTAAAAGACCTGTAGTCTGACAGGCTTTGCAGGCTCTTAGTTATTTAAAAACCATTTAAATGCAGTATTGGGAGGGGAAAAAATAGTAGTTGTAGTTGAAGAGTCATTAAATACTTAATTTTCAGTTTAAGTACCTTTCCCATTTTTATCTTTATTTAAGAACAGACCTGAGGATTTTTTTTTTCCTGGTTTATTTTTTCCTAACAATTTTTGAACAAAGCCTTGGATTTTTTTTAATGCTTTCCAGTTTTGCAAACATAAGATTAGAATTTAGACACTCGATTTGAATTTGCAAATGCTGCGTTACGTTTCATAATTTGGTCCTTCCAAAAATCCTGTGATGTTTGCTTCAAAACATGGGAGGAATTCATGTTGACTTTGGTAGATTTTGGCTAAAGACCATGATGTAAAAATAATAGCTTATACTTTTATGTGCATTCCTCTGTTAGTTTTGTTATTAGTTTTGAAACTATGGGTCACTTTGTTACTTAACATTCAGCTTAAATCATCATATTTACATTTTCCTGGGCATAAAACATCAACTGGCTTAGCAAACTCAATAGAAGAGATTCCCTAACTAATAGAAATGTCATTTTGTTCATTAACTTCTTTCTGTCCTATTTGCCAAAGACAGTGATATTTTATGTCCAGTAAATGTATTTTTTCAGTAGTGCTGTAGATAAATATTTTGTCAGTTACATTTTAAGTTAAAGAAACATAAACATGAACTTGAAGTAATAATGGTGTGTGTGAGGATTTATTATAATATGCTTAAAAACTTTTTACTTTAACATAAAACTTGCCTGTGGAGGGGAAAAAATGAGTCCCTTTAACTTCACAGAGCTATAAATTAACAAATAAGAAAGCTGCTATGTTTATTCATAACTCACCACTTGATTTTGTTTCTTCAAGTTCAGCAAGTTAGGTAAAAATTATGCTGTTTTAACACCATGGCAAATTCTATGCAAGATTTGATTGATGAGGGTAGAAGTAAATATTTGAATATTTAAACCAAAAATTATTTTTATATCTATTTGTAATGAATGTTTTTGCCACATACGGGATTTTTTTCATACCTGAAAATTTGTTTGGGTTTTTTTTCCTGAAGGATTTCAAAACAGATGTGAAAACTTAAAAAAAGCTAGGAGCTTTCCAGTGAATAAATTGATTATTCTATCATTTACATTTACAAAAAAAATATTAAAAAATTACTACATCAAATTTTTTGTATTTTTGCAATGATTCTGAAAGTTTTTGATTACATTGAAATTTGATTACATAGTGTGTGGGGGATCTCTTGGCAGGAGGTGGTGATATTAAAACTTCAGTGTAGCTGGAGATAGTGTAAAAGATGCTTTTTTTGGAAGAAAATTATTTATGAAGTCAGATCTAAATCTCAACAAGATTGAATTCCACTTGATAGCTCTTGAGCATGGCTCAAGTTGGTTTCATGAACTTTAGAGGGATTTTAAGGTGCCTAGCATGGCTCCTGAGCATCATGAAGAAATGTCCTCTAGTATACCTTTATGTGATAACAGTTCACTCACACCTGTCTGGGTTCAGGTTGTGGTTGCCATTGTATATTCCTAAAGGGAAGCTGTGTTTATAGTTGGCCTACTTATTCATAAATTGGAGGAAATGGAACCTGTTTATAGTTTATGAATATGGCATTGTAATTAAAGTGACAGTAAATACTCGTGTGTGTTGAAGTTTTCTACCCAGCACATTCAAGAGAAGTAATTAGTCTAATTGATTTTAGAGCAATAAATAGATTGTCTTTTTGCTCTTCTGATTTCCTGTTTATAGCTTTCAAATGCTGGTGGTTAGAAACTTATCGGTGCTTATAATATTATTTTTTCCAGTTCCATATCACTTCAATGTGTTGGTGGTTTCTGCAGTTCACAAAGACTGTCAATATTTCCTGTATCTCTTACCAAGCTCTCCATAACTGTGAAGCATGAGGAAGCTCCCCATCTTTATGATGATTGTTGTAGAATGGTATCTTGACTCCTCTTCCCATTTTCCATAAATACAGTTTCCTTTTATGCCAGTATCTTTTATTAGTACTTACTCCATTAATTCATTTAGTATTGACTTAGCATTGAATTCTCACTGTAGTGTATAAAGACTATCACAGAATCATTATAGAATACATAATAAAAAGAGTAGAGGTGGTCAGAAAATTTTGATGGAACAATTTTTCCTTAGAAGATGTTGATTAGATGGATTAGTAATTTTCTGGGAGAAAACACTGATTCTGTGGGAAATTCAAACATAAATTAAGCATGTTGATATTTGTTAAAACTATCTTGATTCTCTTTTCTGCTAGGTCTTGGGCATTTTTTTGTCAGCTCTCTATTCCACAAATTCTCAGTGGTCTCTGTGGTACTCCAAACACTGAGGATCTGTGGCAGCCCCTTAGCACGGGGAAGCTCGGGCTTCCCGAGCTTCATGGCTAGTACCAATCTATGCTGCTACAAATGCAGAATCCCTGGGTTTTCAGATTTTGAACAGCAGGAGCCCTAGGAGTCAAGCAATCTTACTGTGTTATGGCAACTGTTTGTTGGACTGTTTAGAGATGCACAACTCAGGTTATATGGTCTTCTTTTTACTTTAATTTGCATTTTTATATCATTATTTGTTTGGTACCTACTTATTTGATTAAATGGTGTTGAAACAGATACTACTGTAATTAAAACAACTTTATTTTCTTGTTTGCTTGTTCAGTGTTTGGTGCCGTAATGAAAATCTAATGTTTGAAACTTTGATCGGTATTAATTGGAGTAGAAGCAGTTTTTAATATGCCAGAAAAGAAATTTGAGAGCCAACATAAAGATATTGGAACAAGCTGATATTCTATTTAGTATCACTGTTTACTTGTTTCCAGTGTCAAACTGTTTCAAAGCAACTTCAAATGAGGTATGTTTCTAACAACCAAGTAAGATGGACATTTTGCTTAATGCTCATCTGAGTAGTATTTGCTTTTATTTACATTAAAATAAAATGCATTACATTATACTAAGTTAAAAGTAGGTTAAGTGATAAGAATAGGCTCTTACAAAAATTTGGGAAATTTCCTTTTAATATGTATACTACATGAAAGTGCATGAGCGGTAGTCATGGTGCATATGCAGAACTGAATACATTACAGAATGTGTGTTCAATTATACTGTCACTAACACTATTTGGAATTAATTTACTTTTCAGAATTTACCATGGAGGAGGAATTCCAAATTTTGATCAATTTAGGATTTTTAATAACACATTAGCTTACAAATATCCTGTGACATGAGAGCATTAAGGTAAAAACTTGTTCAGGATTTTAATATAGTAAGCTAATAACCCATTTTTATTTCATGGTCTATTTATAAAAGTGAATTGCAATCCAAATACTGGTGGAATAAGGGCATTTTCAAAAATTGGATTTTATCCATGAAAATTTTCTAATGAACAGTTTTCCCTCAGGTCTTTCTAAGTTTTGTAGGAAGTTTTATTGTTTAGCAGAGCACTGGTTGGTTCTAAAGATGTTCTTTGAAGTAGAGACTTATTACAGTTACTAACTTAAAGGGGATGGAAAATAATGTAGTCGCTGGAAGTGTCCATCTTTCTCTTACCTGGATTTCCTACAAACTATGTTTGAGGTTAGATAAGTAGTTTTCTCTAGATTCTTAACAGTATCTTGTTTGTCTTCTTCCTGTAAGGCCTACTTGCAGTATAAATCTCTTGAAGTACTAAACAACTGGCTCTGTTCACTGACAAGGTGATGTTGGAAGGTGTAACAGTTAGTTGCAGTAATGACTGGTCTTGAAGGAGGTTTTATGCTTGTTTTTGTAAAATGCTGTTTGTATTTTTTCACACTGTGATGTTAGAAGCAATATCCTGGCACTAAACCAAATGACAGCTATTTCATTTCTACACTAATCGTGATTAAAAATAATTGACATTCACTACAGATGTATGTTTCTTCACTAAATTAAAAAAACCCCAAACCTGAAAGTACAAAAGCAGTTCAGAATTGAAGTCAGTCTAAATTTGTAGTTGACTGATAATCCTCTTTATGTACTGCTTAATGGATAAAAGTCATGGAGTAGATGCTTCTGCAGGATGAGAACAATTACATTAAATGGTTTCTAATATCAGTAGTGTAGTAAAAATATTGCTTGTTGAAAGAATACAAATAGTATGTAGAAAAATACGTATTACTTCTTAAGAAATTGCTTCCGTTCCTGGAAGTGTTAAAGGCCGGGTTGGATGGGGCTTTGAGCAGCCTGGTCTAGTGGAAGGTGACCCTGCCCATGGCAACGGGATCGGAACTAGATGATCTTTAAGGCCCCTTCGAACCCAAACCATTCTATGATGAAATAAGTATGTGAGTGAAACGGTCACATCTGTAATTTGTAGGTTCTGGCCAGTTGGAATTATGTTCTGAGAGAATCACAAATTTTTAATGATCCAATTACTCTTACAATAATAGATTTGAATCCCTGTTTTCTAAAAAGAAATCATAATTTGAATTAAATGTTGTGTGTTGTGTAGTTGTTGGTTGTTGTTTTTTTTTTTTAACCATGCTCTCACTGATTTGATCAAATAAAGTTTCTCCTTCAGGAATAAAGGGATGACAGAATATTCTTTGTTCTTAGTGCTTTTGTTCTTGATATATTTGGACACAGTATTCCAAATATGAATTGATAAGAACAATGTTGGCAAATTTTCCGATTTTTCTTTTTGTGAATGTCAGTTGCAAGCAAAACTTAAAATGTTAGTACAGTTTAACCTCTTATGCTATGGCTTTTCAGTAATAAGGTAGAAGAAATAACTCCTGTTAGATACTCATTCTTTCCCACCAGCTGCTGAAAATCAAAGCATGCTCTGCTTTTTTCACTTCTTGCATATAACATGTATAAATTGCTATGGAAGACTGTAATAATGTATATATTTCATTAATTGCTGAACACGTGCCAAAATTCTTTTAAACTCTGGAAAAATCAATCAATCTGTAAAAAAAACTAATTCCTTTTTCTGTTCTATATAACAACGGTCAGTTAGATTTAATGACAAAGTAGATGTTTACAGTCCTTGTTTTTAGCAATGTGTTGGCAGGGATTCTGTTGTCTAAGAAGTCATGTTTGATTTAAGATTATATTTAGGATGTAGTTTGGCATTACAATTTGACTTGAATAGAGAACATTCAGGTTTCAGAGTGTCAAAAAACTCTCAAACTCTTGAAGATTTTGGGGCCAAATAGCAAAGAAACCTTTCAAGGCTTCTTTTACTGTCTGTGCTGTGGAACAATAACCAAACTAGACCCAGGAAAACAAGTTTCATGTTGTTCTGAACCTAACCATGACCCAAAACTGGTAAGATCATGTCTTAGAGCTGGAACATCTCTGAAATTTGAGCTGTCTAATTAGAAGCATAATGTTGTGGCCACTTCTCTGCAACTACATTCTCTCTTTCATGGTTCTACCTTAATTACAGTTTTGATGAGGTATTGTTGTTAGTTGTGGTAAGTTTGTTACCTAGTTGTACCATTCCATTTGGGATGCAAGCATAAAGATTTCTTGCAGGCCAAATTCTGTAAATCTTTAATGAATAGAATTTGAATTTGCAGATAGTTTTATTATATTTCTATTAAATACTGCTACATTTGACCATTTCTGTATGGTCTACTCTAAAGCAAATATGTGTTCTTAAGGTGCCGTGTATGTGCAAGATCCACATGGTTACTGTCAAATATCTATGGTTTAGATGCATCCAAATGTTTTCACTTAAATGGGAACTGTAATTATATCAATGAATATACAGCATTCAGTCATGCTTGAGGTGTGACACAGAGAATTTAATAACAACTTCTATTTATGTAAAAGTTTGTCAGTGCTACCTAGAGATATACCACAAATGTTAAGGTGTCTTCTTTTTTTTTTTTTTTTTTCCTCACTCTCTCTTTCAGAATAGCTTGCATTTAAAAGCTAGTAGCAGCTTGCTTCCATTTGTTACCAAAATAACATGGTAGGAGCAATCAGTTTCAATTGCTGCTGATAATTATAAGGTGCAATAATTGAGAATATAGAGAAAAGGAGACTGTGAGCTCCATTTGAACTCTGTACTTAAGCAATAAAAAATTTATCAAACTGCAAAAAATAAGTCATTTTAACGAGCACATTCCAAAGGTGCTGGATTTATGAGGAGACCCCAGGAAACTTTGATTGAAATTGCTGTCTCTGATTGTAGTTCTATATTTTATTGGTGCCATATTGTGAACAGTGCTGCTGCCAAACTGAATGGGAAAGCAGCATAACAGAGAGTTAACTCAGAAAGGTTACCTCTTTTTATAATATCCATGATGTATTGCATTAAAAATGCCTTGAAAGCCATCCTATTTGCAGTTTTCAGAAAACATTTTTCTTAAATTAAGTTACAATTTATCTGAACAGGGCAGAAAATATGAAAGCCCCTTGAAGACTTTAGTATTGATTTTTCTGAGTATTTGCTAGGTCTTGTTTTCTCATTTGTGTGCTCCTTGATAGAAAGGCCTAGAGCTGCTCCTGAGCCAATGCTTCAGCTGGATGCAAACTGCAGTAGTGAAGGGGGGGAATATGGGAACTGAATTTACAGTAGAAGTTTTAACTAAGAACTTTAGATTGGCTTTTGAAAAGGTTTTGGCGCTCTGCTTCCTGAATTTAGGCAATATTTAATTGACATAGAAAATTAAGACAGTTTATTAAATATTAAAGGCTACCCCCAACTAAACAAACATTGCAGTAACCATGTGAGATGAATGACTTGAATATTTTTAAAGTGTGAGTTCAAGGTCACTTTTTATGTGCATGTTATAATAAGAGTTATAAATTTTTATTTTAGTGTTTTTATTCAGGAATTAAATGAAGACAAAAGTTTTAAAAATCATTGCACAAAAGCACATTTGAAATGGACAGTGAAATGGGCACACACAGTTACTAACTTACAAGCAATAATTAGGCATGCTACATAGTTGATCATTTCTAACCCTTCACTGCCATCCTGTGCCACCTGCTTATTAAAACTTCATCCTCCCTCTGTCAAAATGCTCTGTTACTTTAGCCATAAGACTGTTACACCATAGCTCCCAAATACCCTGTTATAAATGCTGACTGTATCTTTCAATTTATACTGCAGTGAAGTAAGCTTATGAAAATAGTTCTGAGGGATTAAGCTCTAAATACTATTTCTATGCAGTGGATTATTTTTTCCCCAAGCCCAACACATTCATGTTGCTTAATGATAAGAAAAATGTTGTGACAAATGTATTGAAGCTTCATTGGCTCTTGCACATGTTATCTACCATGTTTGACTAATAATTTTGAGAAGAGAGTGACAGATATGATTCCAAGATTTGCTTAACTTTGTTGGTCTAGATCGTGTTTTTTACCCATTATTTTGCCTTAGTTGATGATTTGGTGAAATTGCAAGTATGTGAACGAATGAAATTGTTCCTAAAATGCTTTGGCAGTTTATGACTTGAAATTCTTTCAGAAGTTATCTATTTTTATGTCAGTGTTGCTGCATTTTTTTCCTTTTTTTTCTTCTATGCTTACAGTTTTAGTAATGTAAAAAAAATAAAATCGAGTGAAGCTTAACTAAAACTCCCATTTCATGTACTTGAGAACTTCAGAAAAACTTGAGTCTGTTACAAACTTTGCCTTGATTTGCCTTTACTTTGTAGTTAACAAGTTTTCATCTCAGTAAAGTAGGTTGCAAAAATTCTTGATCTCAGATGGCTTTGCTTTTTTTTTTACCTATTATGTACTTTTGAATTTGGAGATGGTAATTATACCAAATGGAGATTATAGAAATTTTAAGTCTATTAAGATTGTACCAATGTGGGGTATCATTAAGTCTGTATTGTTAGACCAGATTTTGTATTTTATGGTTCTCACCTTGTCTGTCCTGTTTGTGGTGTTTTTCCCGCTCTCTTTAAAGGTTCAGCTGTGGAAGAAAGTAATGAACAAAAACTGAAGGGAAGAGACCCAGCTGTTTGGCATGTAGGCTTGAAGGTAGCATGGGACATAGAGACACCTGGATTAGCAATACCACTTCACCAAGGAGACTTCTACTTGATGCTTGGTAATTTTGAAGGGCTAAGAAGGTGAACTTTGAAAACAGAGAAAATGAAACTTATTTTAATATTTAATATCATACCTTCCTTTCATTTAGGACTTTCCCTATTTAGAATGACATGAGATCTGGCTAGAGTGTATAATAAATACTGCCCACTTCCAGTGTGTTTTGGTGAACTTTTTTTTCCTAATGTTTCTTTCACTTCACAGCTAAGAAAGGAAATATACTTTTTGAGCCTTTTCTGTCCTTTGTGCAGTCAGAATTGCTACCCCAAGTCAGGCTTTGGGCCATAAGCAAAACTTCCCCAAATCTTGTGAGAAGTTGAGCTGTATCTGTCCCATCCTTGTATTTGTCGATGCTGATTCCTTTTTCTATTCTTAATGCAGTTTTACTGAGTAACTGTGAGCATCTGTGTCTGTTACGTTCAGTAAAAAAAAATCCTGTTCTTGAATTTGGCTTATGGAGTGGCTATGTATTATGTAAGCTGTGGCCGGAGCAGTCTGAAAGGTTTTTTTTTTGGTACTGTGGCTATTGAAGTTTCAACCATTATGCCAATCTGTGGATGTTTTATTGGTCACCAATTTTAGACATGACACTTCGTCTGCTACACTTTTCCATGTGTGTATTCAAACATACTGTTTTCTAGTAGTAGGTTTATACTAAGGTCATAATGAACAGAGCTGTCATACTCCAAGAGCAAGTCTCAATATCTCAAGTGTAGAGGATTAAAAAAAGAAAATTAAATTGAGTTAATTTACTTGAGCAGCTGAGCTCACACACTAAGGTTTTTTCCATTGAAAGAAACGAAGCAAGAACTGTGGCTAAGGTTTGTTGACGCAAAACTTGTTGCTTTCTCTTTTGGCTTGTGTTTCTCGTGATTATCATTTTTGTTTAAACAAATTTCATTAAATCACACAACTCAAAACATGAACAATGCTTCTGACAACATCACGTTGTCTGTCAAGCCAAGTCACTAAACAGGCCATCATCTTCAAAGAGTGAGAGCACTTGCAGTGTTCCCTGTTTATGTGTTTGTGACTTGGAAGGTAGACTCCATGGAACGTCCCTAGAATGACCTGTCTGTCACACTGCCAACTTCTTGGGCTGAACAGTCTTTTTGCTTTTCCCTTTCACATTTATCTTCCAACAAATATGAAAACAGTTTACTTAGTACAAGCAATACATTTGTGGGCAGTCTTAAAAAACATATACCATTCCTTGTTCTTAGTTGCCTCATCAAATCCTGTGCACTGTCATCAGTGAAGTATCTTGAGTAAGAGAACTGGACTCTCTGTGCTCTTAAGTATGTTCAGAAATGAACAATCAAGTGTTAAGATGTGACATCTTTTGGCACAGTGGTGTGGATGTGCCTCCCTTTTCTGTATTTGTGTGGATAAAGTATAGCAGCCTGGAGGGAAACAGAGATATTTCTTATATGAAAGTGAAGTTTAAGTGGCAGCTAAACATTCCTAGAAAGGGAATTATTAATCAATTTTTGTGCAATAGCAGTTTGGACATCAAGTAAACTTCTTACCTAATCCTTCCTGACTGGAAAGTTTGTGCATACGCAGCTTTGCTGGGCAACAGATGCAGAAGGCAATTAATAATAAAAGGGGTCTAACTTCAGTATTTTTATTGCAAAATACTGTAGATTGTAGTTGACTGAGTTACCAGATCATAAGGACATTTTTTTATTCCCCGATGGAATTTATATACAGTAACTAAAGTACTATCAGGGATGCCATCTGAAGGGTGGGTCAGAAAGTTAGTTTATTTAACATGTAACATGATGATCATGTTTAGTTGGAAACAAAGGATATATTAAACATTCTTCTGAAGATGATGTGTAAATCACTTTCTTATTAATGCTTTGTAGAGAGCTACAGATTTGAGCTCTGTAGTCCAGGTGTTTGATAATCTCTTCTGCATTTCCATAACCTGTATTTTTTTTCTCAATTACTTTAAATAAAGTTGTTACTTTATACAGTTGGAGAGAGTATTCTCAAACTGGCCCTTTTGTTAGGTTTCTATGTACAGCAGAACTGCCTTTATCGTTTTCCCTTAAAGTGAAAGACAATATAAATGGACATATACGGTTTTAGTGTATTTTTTACTATAAAGATTTTTTTGAACTGACTTTTAAGAGGCATCTTGAGGATTCCATCTAAAAGATAAAATATGAAAACTCTGTATAAAGAGTAACTTGACAATAAATACAATTTTAGATTCATTTATCTTGTGCATTTGTATGTGATACATTCCAGAAGCTCATTTTAGTAAGCAGAGTCTTCTTGCTGGCATAATTTTAAAAGCAGTGGCAGCAGTGTGTAAGGCATCTAGAAAATATGTTAAGAGTACTGCAGCTAGTAGTAGCTGTTGATGTACAGGGACTGATTAGTAGGACTCTCTACTTTTTCTGACTACTATTGACTCATCTGACTGTAGCAAAAAACTTAGCAATTCTGTAGGTCTGTACTTCCAGTTGCTGAAATGGTGCAGTGCTTACTGCTTTATACAAATGTTGTAAAACACTGAATTGTCAAATTCAGTATGTTGCTTATAATTAAAAAGTCAGGTCCTATCAATTCCTGTACCTGTAATACCCCAACTATTTCCTAATATTGTACACACAAATCTTAGATAAGAGCATGTGGTAACTTGATATTTCTAATAGTAATGTGCAATTACAGTAACTTGTAAATCCTGACCAATGGGTATATCGAAGTAACAAAAAGATTGGGGGTGGTTTTTAGTATTTCTAGTAGACATTTAGTAGTATTTATGTTCATCTCTTCATTGGCTATATAAAATGTCTTTTCTTATTCTGGTTAGAATTTTAGTAAAACGCAGTCTTAAAATGTAAATTTAAACCTGCATTCTCAGCGGTCCTCTTCAGATGAAATGATAAGCCATAATTTAAATGTATGTTAGTACTAAACATGAGATGATCAAATCCATTCTTCAAGTAAGCTATTACAATAGTATAAATGTATTTTGTTTAAACAAAACCAAACAAAATCCAAAATTACTTTCAGTAAGACAGGCTTTTTGTGGGTTTGGTTTGTTCTTTTTAAGGCTTACTTTTCCTAATATGAAGAAAAAAAGATCTGGTGAATGACTGCAAATCTGCTGCCTAAAAACTTAAATCTGAACTTTATGTCACTCATGAAACGGAAACACTTTAGCTCAATTTAGAATAATATATTGGTCTGCGGAGGAAGTGCATACTGAACCCTGCTGTCTCAAGTACACAGTCAAGGGGTGTCTAATATGAAACGTGTTGGGTGCATGCAATAAATCCAAAACGCGTGGAGGTAAGCAAAGGGCCCCATCTGCTCTGTCCTAGAGCATGCTTAACTAGGGTTGTCATGGTCTTACTATTAAATTGGAATCTTTCCCCTAATCTTTGAGTTAGACACGACCAGATTTGCAAGCAGATTTACAATTTTCACTAATTTTCCTACCATGACTTCAAAACATACTTAACAAAAATACATTCTGGACTTTTTCAAAGGGAGATTTACTTTTCTGCAGCTGTTTCCCATAGATCAAGCCTCTTGCTTGAAGGTTAGGGTTTTAAAACAGCATGAAGATGAACTTGGAATCTTATACCACTCCCCACTGCCAGCAAATTATAGTTCAAGAAGCATCAAAAAATTATTTTCTTAACCAGCCGGAAGTAGGGTGCACACATTGCAGAGGTTGGCTTGTGGTTAATGATGAGTATTTAATGGAAACATTTCCACATGTATGTAGTGGCTCATTAAACTATTTCTAGATATTTAATCTGCTTCTATTTCCACAAACTAACTTGAACCCTCTTTGCTCTCTAGCATCTTGAATGTGTTGGAGTTTTTTAAACACACACCCCCCCCCCGCCTTTTTTTTTCTTGAGTCCACATTTAATCCAAATGCTGTATTCCTTGATTATTAAGACTTCGAACCCCAGAAACATATTTGTCATTACCAAACTTTGATCATGAAATTTGGCAAATCCCGGACGTCCTTTTTTTTTTTTTTTTTTGTTCAGCCTTTTAATTAATTCTGTGTTTTGTTTGTGCACACTTGTTTTAAAACTAAAAATATTTATTAATTAGGGACAGATCATCTCTCTAGCTTTCAGTTATGAAAATAGTATTCCATTGCCCCATAATTTCTTGGGGAAGGAGACATAACTTCCTGGTGCTTTTTGTTGACATACCTACAATAAAATCAGTTTGGTTAGGTTTTCTCCTGTTGAAGCATTGTGTGCGGTTGGATTCGAGTAGAATTGGAAATGGTGGAAAAACATTTTTGTGCTTTTGAAAAAGGCACTTGTAATATGGTTAAAAAGAAAATTCTTTATTTGTTTAAGGTAGTTAAGAAAACTAATAGCACAAGTCCATTTCACTTTTTTTTTGTAGATATTTGTAGTGTTTAGAATATCAAAGCTTTTGCCGGTGCTTTAAAACCCACTGTACCTTTTATCTGCTTCGTGAAATAGATGACAAAAAGACAACTGTCAAAAAAGTTCAGGAAGAACACTTGAAAGAAGATAGAAATGATGATATAAATCCCTGTTGCTAATTCTGTTAGCATTTTCCATTGTGGTTTGTGTTTTCCTGGGAAGTTCTTTACCTAGAAGTAATAAGTTTTGGGCCTGTAGTCCCTACTCCTTTCAGTAAGGATTGGCTAAGAATTAATTTCCTTTCTTTCTACCTTGTATTTGTTGTTGTCTTAATAGTCTGTAGTGACATGGGTATGCAGTCATTGTTTCTCTCTGAGGGCTTTGGCTCCTCACCTCACTGGTGCTCTGATAATTAGTTAAGTAGTAGAATTAGTCAAGTATATGTATGTTAGTTAAGTGTATATACATACACATATCCATTAGTCCATTCTTCTAACAAAGGCTAAGCAAACAGAGGGCTTTCGGTGTTTCTGCTGTTGGTGCCCAGGTAATTCAGCTGTCTAGAAGAAAGCATACAGTGAGGTGGGGACAGAGCAGGGACAGGGACTGAGAAGAACAGTATCAGAGAGAAAAGAGTGGAACTGGCAGTAGTTTCAAGCAGTGGAGAGGACTGTGCTGAGATTCTGTGCTGGGAGGGATGTATCTGAGAAAAGAACAGGACGGCAGAAGTCTGTGCAGGGGAGGGACAGAAAGATCTATGACATCAACTTGCTCCCACCATTTAAAATAGAATATGCAGCATCCAAATTCCAAAATGTACTGCTGTCTGTAAATAGCAGGAAAATCACTGAGAAGCTTGTCTGGTAAGGGGGTCCACATGGACAATAATAGTCTGCATCTGATAGTAGAAAGGTGGTCAGGTGTTAAAACAATAGCATTAGTTTTAAGCACTGTAAGCCTGCTTCTCTTGAAGAATTTCCATGCAAACATTGGCAAGTCCCTTAACCTCTCCTTACCCTTAGGTTTTTCTGTGTCAGTTATCAACTTTACAGAGGCCTTGCATGGATACATGTATTAAAGCACCCAAGTACCTTGGATAGTTTCGTGGTGTTTGGATTTTAGTTTTTGGCTGTGGTTTGGGTTTTTTTTTTGTTTTGTTTTGTTTTTTCTTTTTCCTGCAGGTGTGAGGAATAGGGATTAGTATTAAACAAAAACTCCATTTTGTAACTATGTTTTGCACAAGGTGTGTTATCTGAAGTTTCTGTAGCTGGAAATTCTATTTTATTTCAAATAATTTTATGCATTTGCAACTAATCGGATCATCTGCTAAACTTCCTTGTGATTTCTTAGTACTTCATCTGTAAAGTCAAAATCTGATCTCCAAATTATTTAAACAGACTTCAGGTTGATAGTTTTGTTTTTCAAGGTGGCTTTGGCCACCTGTACACAATCATACATGTGATTAATTTCTTTTAATAAATCTTGCCTCAGCTATAGCAGTCCTACAATGGGATCTGACCATAAGGTGGCAGATGATTCATTGGGAGTAGCAGGCAGAAAGTGGTAGAAATAGAAGAATAAACCAATCCATTTAAAGGAAATACAGATTTTGCTATATACCTGTATGTAGGAAATAGTGTCCTTGTTTCTTAGGTGGTCCACCTCAGACAGAAAAACGAAGTTATTTTTTCCAGCATTCAAACACCAAGTGTCTGTTACGAACCAAGTTGTGTTCCTTTGAATACAAACAAGCCTTTTACAATATTGTCAGTAGTTTGGGGAAACAGATTTAGGTATTATGCTGCCTGAAGTGCAAGTGATTATCCACACTTGCACAGTGACTGGTGGCACAACGGTATCCTGTTAATACCGGTAAATACGTATAGCTTTAATGTGTGTGATTAGGCTTTGATTGAGAAAATTCTCTTTGATCAGGATAGCACTCTAGTATGTATTGAACTTCATTGGTTTTTCTTGATTGTTTTCTAGAATTACTATTTTAAATTTGGGTAATTTGTAGTGTTTTAAAATTTATAAACAAGTGAAAAGCCTGATCAAACTTCAGAAAAATAGTCTGTGCAAGTGACAGCATTTTTCACAGGCATGGGAAAGCTTTGGGAGAGGAACAGTCACATAAGCAGAAAATTGTAGTCCAATTCTCAAAAACCTCTTTCTTACCTAGCAGTTAGTTAAATGACATATGCATCTTGTAAGCATCTATATGGAAGGCAGGACTATTTTAAGGAGAAGAGATTGTGTGGCCGTTCTTGAAACTGTACTAAATACATTGCTAAGTTGCTGTTAATGGTGATTTACAATAAAAAGCCACTTCTCATATGCGTTAGACAGTTCACATGTTTTGTGGCATTTTGTTTTTATAATATATACTGAATTGAGATGTCCCTGCCATAGTTGTCCTGAATTTGTGGCAGGATAAGGGCCCACTGTTTTGTGGCAGAAAAGATGCCATGTTGGCTCTTACCTCACCACAGATTCAGAACTGTCTGACAAATAACTTCTCTGTATGCAGTTTTCCAAAGCAGGACTGATATATATGTTCCTACTTTTATATGCATGTATTTTATGTGATGCTTAATACTGGAGAAGCTGTGTTTTGTTTTTCCAAACCTCACCGATCAGTGTTTAGTCATGTAAAACTGATGTTAACTCCATATGTATTATATTTTACCTAAAACCACGAGAGGACTGTGGTAGTTTTGACATGGGTGTCCAAGGAAGGTAACAGTTTTGGTTGGACTCTAAAACCAAAACAGTAATCTGGACGTAGTGTTCTGTATCTGAATAAAACCTTTTGCTGCCAAATGGACAATGGCCAATTTGACAAAGAATGCTTTTTCTTTTCAATTAATATATTTTTAGAAGAAAAAGAAAAGCAAATCTCTACTGTAATCTTTTAAGATCTAGAATGTATTTTTCAAATTTCTGTTGAGACCTGTGATCCGTGAAGCTTCAACTATTTTTGTACGATTACAGTTTTAGATGAATTATAAACTCTTAAGTTAAAATTACAGGCATCTTTCTAAGAGTCATAAAGGATTAGAGACATCAATTTCAAGGGCGAGCTCTACAATGGAAGATTTGCCAAAGGTTTGAATAAAGATGCAAATCAAAATGTAGTACTTTTAATGCTGTTTGCTACATAAAACACACCACAATGAACGGGCACTGAATGGGGTGGTGGAAGTGTTTAGGTTTGTTTTCTGTTGCAATTCTTCTTGAAAGTGATTGTGATACTTAAATATTGCAATGTCCAGAGATAATACTGTTCTGTGGTCCTTGCAAGACTTGGCTGTATGCAATTTAACTCTCATATGTTTAGGTAGGAAATCACTTTTTCCTGTGTTCTTTTTTTTGTTTCGGAGTGTTTTTTCAAGCTTTTCAACTTTACCTACCTGCAGACCTTGTCCAAATAGAAAATAAGCCTCTCATCTAAACTTTCTCAGTCGGAATTCAATCCTGTTTCATAACACTTGTCTGCCTATTCCTTATATAAATTGTTTTTCTAGTTTTTATTTATTTTTTTTTTCAAGTTTATGATGCTATCTGCTGTCTTGGGTATGAACTTTAGTAGTTGCTTATAAAATTCATAAAAAGATGACACTGTTCTTACAACTAGGATAAATTCAGTCATTTTTCTGAATTCTTATTCATTAGACTTTCTCAGTTTTAAAGTTGCAGACTTGTTGCAAGGTAAAGTAAAAGTTTTAGAGCATATCTTTTTTCAGTAGTAAAGAGAATACCATTAAACCTCACACACTGTGTTCTTTTCAATCTGATAGTCTGTTATTATGGTCAGAAGAGCGTTTTCAAAAATTAGTAGGAATTTGGGACACCAGGTTTCAGGTACGCAAATATTGATCTCTTAAAGAGAAATTATATTTATGTGATGGAAGGATGAAGCTTGATAATTTCTCATCATGCTGTATTAAGATGACTGAAGCTAAATTCCCTGAAAGAATAGGTATTGTTGAAAATACAGACTCCAAGTTAACTAGCTTGTAGGTCTCTATTCCTGTCTTCTAATTTTGTCTATGATGTTTTTTTGCTTGGTGACACTCCAGGTCACCTAGTTTTGTATGGTTTTTTTAGTCTCTTTCTGCTAACTTACAAAACTATAACCCAGGAGTGATTTTACAGATTTTTCTGAATGTCTTACTAAGGTTGAGAGGGCAACATAATTTTAACACCAAAACTGTTTGAATTGAAAGCACTTCATGAATGGTTTTCAGCATAACAGTGATTTAGTCTGAACTTTTCCAGAAGAATATGTTTCCTCTAAAAAGTTCTAGTTTGTCAGGATTCAAGCATTCTTCAGTTATGATAACTTTGCAACTCTGATGGCAACCAAGTAGGTTCCATCTACAGGGTTTGTGGGGTCGTTGTTTGACAGTTCGTGAACTCAAGTCCATGACAGCCCTCTGGCAGGCTACAAGAAAGTCACCAAGGAAATACTTTGGAGACAGGTCTTTGAGCAGATTGTGCTTTCTAGGTTCCCAGTTTCTTGGCTCTGAGGTGAAGGGAAAACTTCAGATAAGTTTCAGATAAAAAGATGAAATAATATGTCTTTGTCTTTCTTCTTTCTTTGTTTCTTTTTTCAAGAAATGTCAGTACAGTATTGTTTAGTGATTTTTAAGAAGCGAGTAGTCTGTTATTTATAATGATCCTTGACTTTGAAAGAATTAATTTGTTTAGTTGAACTTTTCCCACAAGAGGTGGGAAAATGCCACTTCTAAACTGTATAAACTGGGAGAAAACTAATATGAATAGAGATCTTGGTAACACTAGGACAGTGAATAGTTATCATGCTCTACTAAACATTAGAGCTCTATGAAGATAGTACTATCTGTCTTAATTCTCTTTTTTTCTTTAAATGCTTAGTGTCATGTCTTTAATTCATGTCCAGCCAGAATATGTTTTATTAAGTATAATTTTTCACTGTACTTAAGGTTTTCTAATCTGTCCCTAGATGATCTCAATATGACACATCAGCACTGTGTTCTGGCTGGTTTTTCACCTCGATTCAGCTCAACTCACAGAGTGGCAGATGTAAGTATCAAAAATGGTTTGCTATATGGTCATTCTTAAAACTAATATTTTGATACCCTGTATGTAGCATCATGCTGTCTTATCCAGAACTGTGGTCACAGTTATGCTTGTGACTCAAACTTGAACAACTGCTATTTGTTTATTTTTTGATTGAGGTACATTGTTTCTGTATTGGTAGTTTGTCCAAACTCAGAGTTAGGCATATGAGATATGAATTAAGAATGTGCTACACCACACCTCATGGATTACTGATGAAATGTAGAAACAACTGTATTTTTACCTGAAATGTTTTAAAACTTCTTTGCTGTGTTCATATCCCAGTCCTAGTTGAAAGGCAATATTCATGATAAGATAGAAATACTCAAAACCTGTCAGCAGTGTCCACTGGCAAAAATGGCCTTTAGGGGTTCAGAACAACTAAGAGCAGTCGTAAGTATGCTTTAAATTGGATCCTTCTGTGCATCTGAGGATTGAAGAAGCAGAAAAATAATACAGAGTCTGTTGTCTCAGAGTCATTCTGAGGTAACAAGGCTTCACCCTGGTATTCTCAAGTGCTAAGACACTTTTTTTTTTTAACTAGACCTCTCCTCCCTATTCCTTTACATGGTGTTATCAGTAGCTTTATTTATGTAGTATTCTAATGGAAAAGCATATAAAAAAAATAAGACAACTGTATTGTAAAAAGATATTTTAAGAAATTGCAATTACCACTTCCTTCTTTCAGCAAGGCAATATATACCACTATTGAGGCAAGAGAGATACATGTATCCCTATACTTCTTTTTTTTCCCCCATTACTCTTCCTAATTTGTGCAGGAGTGGAAATAAAGCAATAGCACTGACCATGGACATATACATACATATAAGCTGTAATATTAAAAATGTGCCTTTATTTCCCAAACAAATATACACTCTGCTTGCTTGAACTGGGCTTTGACATAAAGTTCAAGTACACTGTACCTTTTAACACAAATTATTCTGTATTTTTCATCTCTAATTTTAAGAGTGCTTTGACCTACTGCTCCTGTCTCTATGTTACTTTTGCAGGAAAATGCACACTTATTTTTACGGTATGAAAAGCTTCTCTATTAAGTGATTATGTTTTGGTTTTGTGAACTGTTGTGACTTCAAGTTGTGCAGTATGGATATTTTTTTTACAAAGAATGTGAGACCAGAGGGTCCTTATTCAAGATTATTCCTGGAAATTTAACTAAAGGTACAGATATTTAATTGAAAATAATTAAAAGATGTAGATGTATTCTTTCTTTTGTTTCAAAAGGATTTTTACAGATTTCCCTCTAATTTTGAAGGAAATTTAATGAAACAAAACAGAATGAGCAGAAGTACAAAATTGTTTTGTTCATATTCTCTATACCTCGTAAGCAAACAGCTCTCTCAGACTGGATATGGAACTCCATTTTAGTGTTACTATGACCCCATATAACTGGGCAAATAAAACTAACTGATTCTGAAATACCATCAAAAACTGCCTGGGAAGCAGTGGAAGGTATACTCATGTTTTTGTGTGCCATATTTGTAAAGTAAATTTAGAAGGAATTCTTTTCTTTGTCCTTTCAATCTGTGCCGTACAGGTTGGCTAGATGTTTGATGGATTAGACTTCTGCATAATTTATGTCAATAATTATACAGACAATCCAGCAGGCATTACGCTTTTTTTAAAAGATCATGAAATACAGTTACAGAAATACATACCTTCTTCTCCTTTACTTTGATTATTCAGAAGCAAATACTTCAGTATATTTGAGGAATACCTATGTTCTGAAGTGGCTATATATACATTTTTTTATTGTATTTTTACAGTGTTCAAGAGGAACATTGGAATACATATTTGGACAATGTGAACTGGCACTCCAGAATTTACAGACTGATTCTGAATCAATGGCTTTATCTTTGAAATCACTGGAAACTGCAGTTGTAAAGCAAGTAGAAGAAATACATAATGAGGTGAGATGATCTGCACTGATAATACTTCAGCCAGGTTCTGAGAGGTGCAGTCTGCTCATGGAGTTAATGGCAATTAAGTGTGTTCAGTTGCTCACTAGGCATTGCTCTGTATAAGTTTGAAATGTGTTTTTTATGACTTTTTTTACTTGGGTACAGTAATTGAGATTAACTTGGATTGATTCTTTCATTCCTGTGAAGTTTTAATTGTTCCATCTTAAGATCCCTCTGCTGGTAGAGTAAAAGAGTAGTTTCAGTAATATTACACGAAGTCTGATAGTGTGGTGGACAAACCAAACTACTATAGCGCTTCTCTAAGAAAAAGGGAGAGAGAAAAAAAATGAGAGTGAAAGAGCAGGTAAAATTTTTCAGTTGTTAATCAGATGTTGAACCAGGTTTTTACAGAATGCCAGGTGTGACACAAGTGTGCATACATGCTTTAAAGTATATTCTGAAGAAAATACAGTGGAAATAGTTGTGAGGAACATATTTAAGCAGGTCTTTCTGTGCTACAAAATATGCAAGTGTAACAATGCACTTCCGCAGGATTCCACTGAAGCTGGCAGTGCTTTCTTGCTTGAAGTACAGACCTGGAGTGTTAACAAACACATTGATTTGACAAATGAACTGAAAATATCAGATGGTATTTTGGGAAACTGTGGAAACAGGTAATTTTTTCTGTGGTGTAAAAGTAGGCAGTATCATAAAAAATGTAATTTGGCTTAATCTGCGTTAGTGGGTAGAGTCAGGAATATCTGACAATGGACTAGGTCTTCTTACAATGATAATATTTCTGAAGATGGTAAATTTAGTACTTTTCTTTCTTTCTTTCTTTTTTTAAAGTTACAGAAAATGTAGTCAAGGCTATGCATTAGGAGTTTAAAATGACAGATGTTTTAGCTGCTCTGGAGAGCTGTCCTACCTAAAACAAAGCTTTAAACTGTTCCTAACTGTAAAGCACTGATCATCATCTCTCTTTAAAAACAGCTCTAGCAACCAGTTAATACAAACTTCTGAACCACTTTTTGCTTAAGTATCAGTGGTTTTTTACAACACATCAATATTCAGAAATTTTGAAGGACCTGTGCTGTATTTCTACTAAGATAAGTATGGTCACTGTTAGAAGCCATATAGTACATAGGTAATTTTCACTCAAATTAGAATTTGTGTAAACTGTTTAAATTGATATCTGCTGAGGAATATAATAATATGTATTGCTACTAAAACTTTGTAGAACGCATTTTTATCTGTATTGTGTTTACAGTTGGTAAAATTGCATATAGTGATGGCAAAAGGTTTGCACCCTTGACTTTTAGCAAAATGGCTGCTAGAGCAATTTAAAGAAGTCTGATGCATGCAGGGTTTTACAAAACATTAATCAGGCTCAGTTCATAAAACTATACGCATATGTGGTTTGCACAGCTAGGGCCACATGCACAGCTGGTGTAAATTTGCACGGGTCCTTTAACATCAAAGACATGTGCCGTTTACATCAGGTGAGAGACTAGCCCCTGGTGTTTGCAGTCACCTGAATAATTTTGCTATATGACATACAGGGATGTTTCCTGTTAACGCATATGGGATATACTGTAACAGAAATCATTGTTTAACTTGTACATATTGTGCACTTAGACTTAGTAGACACATTGGATCTATATTTCATTTGAAAAGAGAATACCCACTCCCTGTTTGTTTTTTTTTTTTTTTTTTTTGTCCCAAGGTCACCTCTTCACTTGAAGGATAAATTCCATATGTTGAAGTGCTACTTAGATTTCATTTATTTGCTGCACAAGTAGACAAAATTGCTAGTGGCTTATCACTGTGGTAAATGCACATTTCTTTTTTGAACGTCACTGAAGTGAAAACGTACAAATCTGTGAGGCTAATGCAACTTTTTTTTACATATAAAAGCTTCCTACCTTCTTTTACTCACTGTATGATAAATCTTTATATTTTCAGGCACTAATACAGGTTTTAGGTTCACATTTTCTTAGGCAGGTGAAGAACAAGAACATGTTTTGTTTCTTTAAAGAAACTGTTTACTGATGAAAATGAGTTTTTCATTTGGTTGGTGTGGTCAGGATTTGGTGACTCTTGTTTTTCCTTAGTTTGTTAGTATTTAAATACAAAAGACAAAATTGCACAAAAAGCCAAACATAGAATTAATGAAGAACTGCCACCCAATTTTGCTTGTGTATTTTTGTCCGATATACAGCTTTCTGTGCTAGTTCTAAACCTCCCTGTGAATTTTTTCCTATTCCTCTGGACCAGACATCATGAGCTTGAAATTAGGTAGTATTCTCATCTGCAGTGGTGGTGATACAGTTGTATTTTATTTTCAGATATTATCATAGCTGAACTTCTTTGCAGGGTTTAACTCAGATAACTAGATGCAGCCATAGTTCTAGATTTTTTTACCTTCCTGAAATGCTACGGGTTTGTTTTTCTTACCCCTCTTGCTGGCACCTCTGAAGTAGTCATCAGAGACTGTTAACTGGAACAGTACAATCAGAGTACCATCAGGCTATGTGTGACTAAGCTAAAATATAGTAGTTTAGCACAGATTCACAGTCTGTGCTGAAATTAACTGCTCTGCCAAATGAGGCCTGGATGAATTATCTGTGTCTGCTAGAGGGAAAAAGCCTAAGAGCAAGTCTGAAAGAATGAGGTATGATTCTGTGCCTTCACTTTCGTATTCCTGGACAGGAAAATTGACTTGCTGTGCTGATAAAGTGGGTTTGAACTGAAGATCTGAAGCATAGGTGGAGACTTAGTTTTTTCCATTTTTTTTGGTGGGCAGAGAAACCTCTAAAAGAGGTATGGGTGAGTATCTGGGGGATGTCTTTACTGATGTTAGATTTCCCAGAGTTCATTTGTCGGAGCCCTGTCTTGGATGTCTTGACAGAGGTATTCCTGCCAAAAAAGTGAGACGCTAACCTGAGGAGGTTTTCAGCATCTATATTGGGCAGCCAAGTATAAGTTTAATATTTCTTAAGACATAGCTTTGTTGTCATGGTCTCCCTCACTAAAACAGCCTTCAAAGGAATATCTGAGTAATTGCGAGGTATGTGCTGTTTGTTAGATGTGTGAGTCACTTCACTCCCAGTATGTACTTTGTAGTTGTAAGTAAAGATAACCTTAATTAAGGGTGTTCATGTGCTGCTTCTGAGTAGCTTATGGGCTTGAAGTCTGAACAAATACTTAAACGGTAGGGTATCCAGTGAACAGGGTGTAGCAAGGTGGACAGAAGTAATTACCTGGACAGCTGTGAAATACAATAGCCTAACAATGCATGCATAGTGTTAGAGATTGAAGTTACCCCTTTAAGCAATGAGATTGCTGTTTGGCCAGTAATAATTTATCCTGAAATGAATGATCTTGCAGAGTTCACCAAATGTGAAACTCTTGCCCCTACTGAATCACACTTGGCTTTCCAAAATATGCACAGCTGCTGGGTATGTCCCAAACAGAGCTACAGGGGACCTGGGGAAACCCATTGGCAAGTAAATGCTTTTTAAAGTAATAAAACAGTGCTAGACAGATGATGTAAATGCTCATACATATAAAAATAAATCTGCAGAAAAGTTCATTGCCAGCCTATTTTTCACATTTCAAAGAAAATTTGTTTTCCTTGCTCTGAGTAATGCAAAATCTGGTAATAGTTCATATTGTGTGAGGTGGTTTCAAGGCTTCTTTATTTGCCAACACCAAACTAATAATTGGATATTCTCTGTGAAGTAAAACACTAGAGGAAGTTTTTTTTATCATCTACGGATTGTGTTGAAAACGTAGCAGGTTTCAAAGTAAGTACTTAAGTTTGCAAAGGTAGGGTTTTGTCCTCATCAGGGTTTTTACTTAGCCATGATTATCAAATCCTGATTATCATGATTAAAACTTGAGACTGAATTGGTTGCTCTTTTGCTTGTGAGGTACAGTGACTTTTGCCTACAGCAAATCTATTTTTATGGCAGCAGTAGATAAATTTAAGTGTGGTGAATGTACAGGGATGTAGAAAAGCCTAGGCTAGCTAAGTTGAAGGTATATGGTGTTAGACACTGAGGTCACTGCTGAGAAAGGGTAGCAGTGTGCACAGCCAAAGGAAGGTTAATATGTTTTAGCACATCACAGTGAGCTGACAGCATGGTTGGTGGCTGGCTAGTACGGCAGAGAGAAAATATAGATCACCTACATGTGTGGCATTTAATAACCAATACTTTTGAATAATTGACTGAGGAGCACTGCCTCACAAAATGTCAAATGCTACTGTTGGCCTTTTACTACCCAGTATTGACTATAACCTAAAATTGGCCTTTAATCATTGTTTAAAGGACAACTTGAAAATATGTTGGTTAGACATATGAGGTCTGATTCTGAGCTTACTTGCACAGATGTAAGTTGTAAGTGAAAATTAATTAGGAGATGAAAATTGTTCCTCAAACACTCAGCATATATATTTTTATATGTTAAGCTTTGTCCTGTTCGGTCACATAAAATGCTTTCTAATGATAACTAAAGTTAGCTCTGATACATGCGAGTCTCCAAATTAAAACTCTGTTACAAAATCCTCAGCATGAGCTGTTAACCTGAGACTTTTGTCACAGAAGATGAATGTTCTGTAACTTCAGTTCCACTAAGGCTAGAATTGAGTTTTTTGTCTCTCTCCAGTATTTACTGTTGTGGCTTTTTTCCTGGTACGGCTCCTCCTGTTTGTGGAAGGAGGCAAGCCAATAGAGTGCCTTCCTGCTACAGGAAAAGATATTCCTGAATAGAGTTCAATGAAAACAGGAAGACATATAGCTTTTAAGAGAGCTTCGAAAGCAGAGGGCATGTGTTTTTGTTAAACTATGTGCTTAGTAATGGATGTGGTGTAAAAAGTGTTCATGTGTTAAAAATACCAAACAAACTTAGCATAACTGGAATCTCTGGAGATTTTAGCAAAACTAAGTGTTTATGCTTGCATGTATCTAAAACAAGGACAGAGTGATAGAGAAATCTTGTCACCATTGCCTCATGGAGGTGATGGGGTTGGTTTTTTTCCAGAATCAACAGTTACCTGTTTAGAGGTGATAGTTCAGAGCAGTCACTTGTCAAGCAGCTTGATGGCTAAGTTGGTGGGTGAAACATTGTTTTTCTCCCCAACCTCCATTTTATTAACTCAGTTTAGAGCTAAACTGAGACATTGTGAGATGAATGTGGACCTGAGTTTGGGAGCCCTAGGAAATGGTAGTCGACATCGTTAAACAACCACATACTGCAATTTGGTACACTGACCTCTGATGAGACCAGCTAATCCTGCAGAAAATTAACTAGCCTGTTGCTAAACTTTACCTCTTGCACCTGAAAAGCAGCTCTTCCTTGTCAAGTTGTATACTCTGTATAGGATCAAGATACATTTAAAATTTGGCCAAGATGTCAGACTTGAATTAGACAGAAATTATATAGATTAATGTAACAAATCAATATGACTAGTCAAAAATCAGATTGACTGAAATATGATGAGCCATATTGTAACATTGATTTTAATTTAAAAAAAAAAATTTCATTGATTAATGGCTTCATGTGATTCATTTCATGAAACATGTTTGGCAGACATCATGTGTTACAGCCCTTTTGTGGTAGAGGCCAGCAAAACCAAAAAGAAGTGGGGGAAGAAAAAAAGTATCTAGTCCTTGAAACTCTAGTTGAACTGTCGATATGCTCAGCCTTCCCAAAACTGTGTATACGGATTTTTTAACAAACCATACTTGATCCTTCATACCTTGTTAATACGGTAGAGGAAGCTAACTTTCCTTCAGCTTTTTTTAGGATGGATGTCATCAGACTTCTGTGCTAAAAAGTCACTAGGCTAGCAGTCAGGTTTTTTTGAAAATATTTTAAGATCTATGTCTGCCAACTAATCATGTTGTTATATTTTACCAACAAAGTTGCTTTAATGTTCTTTTTATACACTTCAAATTTTTAAGTATCTTTTATTATAGTCTTTAACATGTATTGACCAAACATTTAGTTAATGTTAACTGGAACACTTTCAGATTTCTGCAGCCATTCTGTTCACCCTTGCAGGAAAGAAAGCATTAGGTGACAGCTTTGGGCAGTTTTCTTTATTCTTTCACCTTGGCAGGTTGTCTTTATTTGCATTATCGGAGCTGAGCAGGTATAAACAAAAACTTCTTTGTGGTACAAATAATGATTAAAGGAGCTTTGAACTCGGTGTGAAACATAACTACCACAACAAAGATAAATACAGAATTCCGAAGAGCAGAACTATGGATTACTATTAAAGGAAAAAAGGCTCACTGGAAATTAGGATAAATGGAATTATTTTGCTTAAAGAATATTTGATGAGTTATATATTTATACTATGTTTTAGTAAGCTAATATTTCTCTTGTCTTAACATTGATGGGCCATCCACATATGACATTTTTAAAAAAAAAAACACAAAAGTAAAGTATTACATCACTTGCTGTGTTTCATATTCCAAATAAAAGTATTAGCTTGCTCCTGATGGAATTTTTATTGCTTCAGTGGGGAATTTGTTTTCTTCTTAAAGTACGGTTTCCACACAAGCTTTGTCCTGGAAAAAACCTGTTACTTCAGATGCCCCAAAAAGCTGAAACCTGCTTTTTTCACCCCGGGGATGTGCGGATTGTGTGTTAGCAGGTTTTGCTGTGACGGCAGACCCAGCAGAGGGAGCAGGAGCAGCTGTGGGACACCCCTTCTGCCCTGCACCCCTGCCTGAGCAGAGCAATTGCCCGTCCCAGATGGAGATCCAGTCAATCCCAAAGTTACTGGTAGCCTATCTGTAACCAGATTGTTTGGTAAAGTATGAGCAACTCTGATTCTTTGTAATGCTACACTCTCATTCTGTAGCAATTGACTAGGTTGCATTCTAGCAATTTTATTACTGCAAGTTTTTTCAATCTTTTTTATATGACTGAAATATTTTGAAATCCACAACGTTAATCAAAATAAGCCAGAATTTGTCCGTATTTGGCTGGATTGTGAGTAAACCTGAAGTTTTAGTATTCTTTGTACACATACCACATGTAAAGAAAAAAGTTGGGTTTTGCACCTCTCTAGATTTGAAGGGAGTAGCTCAGGTCCCAAATTCATGTGGAATAGAAATAAAATAAACAGCTAGGTGTAAGGGTGCATTTAGAAATGAGTACTTTGGTAACCTCCTTTTCTAGAGGATTGTTCAGGTATAGCTGGATTCATGCAATACCTTATTCCTGCCCCAAATAAGGAACATACATGTTTATGCTACTGTACGTTTTTACCTTGCAGGTTGAATTTGAGTGGCTTAGGCAGTTTTGGTTTCAAGGCAAGCGGTATTTGAAGTGCACTGATTGGTGGCTTAAGCCTATGGCTAAATTGGAAGAATTTTGGAGGAAAATGGAGGTTATGGTAAGTGCTAGTTTTATAGTCTAAAGCCTCTAGAGCTTAATTCTGAGAGCACTCACAATTAAGTTTTTAATTGTGCTGTAGTAATGGGTTTTAAACTTTATTCAGAACATATGAAAACTAGAATCAATGTCAGCCTTCACTGCCTCCTCTTAGTTTTCTCCCCAGTAGCCAGAAGAAATGTGAACAAAATAAGATCCAAAAAACCAAGATTTTACTTACTTCCTGACTTTGCTTGTTTTTAAAGTTTGACAGCCTCATAAGATGACAGTCATATATATTACATCACACTGATTGGTACCTGAAACTCTGCATTGTCAACTTTTTCGTACAACACCAAGATGGGCAACTCTGCCAATGACAACAATGGTGAATGTATCTGAGGAAGGTTGAGAGTAAAATCTGATGATCTGGAGGTACAACTATCTGTCTGTAGTCTACCTGCACACTTAACACCATAGCTAGAACCAACAAGAGGAGATTAGTTTCTTGAATAATTGTAGTGATGCTGGTTCCTGTATACTTGAAAGTACATCCCTGCTTTCCTTGAAAAAGGACTCAGTGACAAGCACTGTTAGCCTGCTTGTTGTTGCTGTCCAAGTAAAGAATGAGTTGGGACGCTTTGCTAGTGTAAGGGTTTGATACATCTGTGAGCATGCCTGCTTCTAGATCTGTACACAGAAGGAACTGTATTGACAAATGTGCCTTACTCATATCCTTATGTCTGCCTTAGAAGCTGCTTCTCAGTCATTTCTGCTGGTCACAGCATAAGCCTTAATTTGCTCGTAGTTGACTTGGAAAAGTTTGTAATGTAACTGAGGATGCTGAATATGATTGGTAGTAGAGGTGGTTTTGAATCTTTGGAGGTACGGTGCGACAAGAATATGGTCTTGAGTTTTGGGGGAAATGTGACTCACTAACCAGCTCAAACATATTGTAAACTTTTCCAGCAATGGCTGGTTTCAGACTTGGAAAATAAGTGTGGAAAAGTGGAACTTTCATTTTTGAAATCAGTTGCCACAAGGAATCAGTGAACATTAAACTTTCCTACAAAAGGAGGGAAGTTATAAATAACTTGTTTATGTGGGGTTTATTCCTCATTTTTTGTGTTCTTATGTGCTCACATTCTTGAATGACCTTTGTAATTTTAAAAAAATCTTTTGTTTTGTTTTTCTTTCAAGTGACAACTTACTTTCTTGTAACACAGGCTTAGATGAGGTAGAGACAAGAATGTTTGATTGTTATTTTATATCCATTGTGTGTTGAGAACATGGAAAACTAGCAAACTCAGGAATTCTCAAGGGTTAGGTTTTCTGCAGTTGGTGTGACATTACCATGTGTGTCTAATTAGAAACATGGTGGCGTCAGTGTATCTCCTTTCAACAGGCCTCAGGATGATATTTATCAGCAAACTGAAGGTTGGGCCAAGACAGAAGCTGCTTCTAATTTAAATTTTAAAAATTGCTTTAATGTTTTATGACTTATAACATATTAATCACAATTAATTTCAGCTATTGAAGGAGACAGAAGAGAATGTTAATTGAGAATGTCTGTTTCGTTGAGTCTCTAAGTAAATTTGATGCTTACTGTATTTGGGACTTGGAGGTAGGTGGGGTTTTTTGGATTTAACCTACGTTTTGTCCTTTAGTGTTTCACAAAATGACGGTAGGGGGCAATGTTGAGCCGCAGTTTTAATGCCAACAACAGGCGCTGACTTAATGAGAATACATAGAAATGTAGCATTAACATCAAGAATTATCCCTGTTGCTTCAAGTTAGCTGTAATCTCTAAGATTCCATAACACAGGAAATCAATTGTGGGTTAACAAATTCAACAGCAATTTAACATAAAAAGTGTAGTGTTTTGGTGCATGCTTAGCTTCCACAGCATTAAGTTGAATCAAAAAGGTATTTCTGAAGGTACCCAGTAGTCTACAGTAGACGTGTTTTCTCCAAATTTATAATTTTAGCTGAATGATTCTTAAAAAAAAAAAAAGTGTCAAAATGCTAAAAGTAAAAATGTCTTAGAATTGTTGGTCTTGTCTCAGAAGAATATTGTTGCTTAAAAGAAAATACTTAAGCAACGTATTTTTCTTTTGTGTGAGCTGACCAACTCTTGATGTACATTCTTTTATATATGTGTCTAGAGTGATACAAAAGTCAGTCTTGTGCCTTTTTTTTCCCCTTGTTTAGTAAAGCAGTTATAAAGAAGAAAAGAAAGTTTCCAAAATAATTTCTGATTCTGCTAATTGTAATTACTCCAATGTCACAGCAGAGTACAGTACTGCAGGAAGTTTAACCCAGTGTCGTCAAACCTTTGGGCATTATTTAATATTTTTGTACATTATAGCAAGCACACAATTTTATCATAATGTTTATTCCTGGCATTTCTTTCCCTGAGGATAGTTTTACTTAGAGCTTGCTCTTGTGATGTAAATGTTAAACCTTTCATTTGAATGACATTCTGATAAAACATCACATTTCCCACAATATTACCTCATGAATTTATGAACCATTAAATCCAAAGCAGTTCAACCGATCTTCTTCTCTTTTTCCCCCTCCCTTGAAAATACAAAGGCTATTCAAATGTTTGAGGGTTGTTTTTTTTTAAAAGTCATCCAAGATTAACACGTTATCATCTGCAACATCAGGATAAATGCTTGCTGAATTCAAAGGGAGAGTTACCATTTGAAAAAAAGACTGTACAAGCTTTGCTTTCTGGGTAAAGAGAAGTCTGAAAAGCTGAAATCTCATGTGATGCAAGGAAGTCTTGCTGTAGCTGTTCTGAGATTCAGTGGAGAGACAATTTGTCTCTCAGGGTCTGATATCATGCAAACCTTGCAATCTGACATTTATTTTAGCTATGAAAATCTTTTAACACCATGCCAAATCAGTAAGAACTGCAGAAGTCCTACAGTCTTTTTTTGTTTATTTTGTTTTAGGCTGATTCACATTTGAATAAGTAAAATGTAAATCAATGAAATGGTTTTTGTTTGTGGAACGAAAAATAAACATATGTGATTATACTTAACTATTGAATCTTTGAAGACTTTTTTAACATATCTAGTGGTCCTTTTAAGAAAAATAATAAAATAAATGAAGATGCTAGTAGTGCTATATGGTGTGAATTGTATTTCCTGCTTTGACAGTCCATTTAGCAATGTAGCAATGTATTTATATGGCAGTTGGCCTTAATAACCTTTATTGACTTTAGTGGGTAAGAGCCGAGACTGGGATTATTAAAATGTATCAGTGTCACTGCAGTATAGAATCACAACATATATAATTATGTTAGGTAGGCTAGGCTCCATTTAATGCCACGTATTTATGCAGGAATTTGGCAAGATGAAAAAAATTGTAGAACTAAAATGTAGAAAAGAGTATGGCTGATTTGGAGTTATATACAACGTAACTGTTTGCCTACAATAAAGGGTCTACTTAAAGGAATGAAACATAGATCTTAAAGAACTAAGTTTTAATGATATAACTGAAACACAAGTAATTGTTACACCATTTGTTTCACTTTTTGGCATCCTAAAATACAGCTGATGATAATGAAACACAGCACACCTTTTAATTTATAAATGTCGTGTAAAAGCAAAAGTGTGCACATTCTGTGTAGTTATAATGAGCAAAGTGGCATTTCACGCAAACTGGTATCTTTCTGTACAACTTTCACCTTGATTAGTAAAAGTTAAAAACTGTATTTGCTAGTCATGTTTTATTACTGTTATTCTCAACAGCATGCTTTTATCACTTTATACAACTAAATTGAAATCAGAGAGCAAAGCTATTCTCTTGTAAAATTATTTTTCTTTCCTTTTTGAGGTCTATTTCCTTATTTGCTACTATTGCTACATATGAAGTATGTCATAGTTTCAGCTATAAGCCACTACTTCAGGGGCTTACAGCCTGACAGTTAGAATTGAGTCTAGGCTGAAACTTGAGCTACAAAATCTCAGCCCAGGGCCATATTTTTTTTTTTCCTTTTCCAAATTAAAACAATGGTTTAAATATGTATTTAAATCAGGGTATTTGAGTTCCAGAATAACCATGAAAAGCTATAAGATAAAATATACTTTTAAAAGGAATCCTAGCTTTTGTAGACTTTGGCACTTTAAACAGCTAACCAATTATATTTAAAAAAAAAAAAAAGATAATGGGATCACAAACAGGCTGGTTGGTTGTTTAGCTTTTTTCAGAAAATGCAGAGCAACTTAACTGATATTTGAATTGGTTTGACCTTGTCAGCGAAAATTCAAGAAATTCTGAGGTATTATTTTAATTTCTTTTCTAGCTTTCTTGTTGTGCTTACATATTGCAGTGTCATACTCCTCTATTGGAGGGCCATGCAGTGATGGGTGATCGTGTTTGCCTAATGAGCTGTGAAATGTAGGCACAACATGGCAGCTCAAAGACCCAAATTTTAGCCATATTTCTTGTCTTTTGGGGCTCTTCTTATCTGTTTAGGCCAGACCCTTTAAATAAATGTATTTTTGGCAGGTTATGTTTTATGTATACTAGGAGTCAGATGTTTCTGGAAATGTACCTTTTATCTTCAACAGCAATAACAACAACAAAACCTGATCCTGAAGACTTCTTTTTCTTTTTTCTTTTTTTATTTTTTTGGCACTAATTTCCTTGACCCCAGTATTTTTAGCTGTCAGAAATGGGAAAAAGGATTCAGCATTGTGTGTAGTAGAATCACGACCAATCTTAAAAAAAAAAAAAAAAAAAAAAAAATAAAGTTGTATTGCACATCTTTCAGAAAAAATATTTACAATTCTGAGGGAATTCAGACTTAAGCTTCCAAAACAAAGTGTGTGCTGAAAGCACAAAGGACTGTGTTTATGATTCTCTTTGAAGTGTTTTTGCAACAGGATAAGGAAAATTTTAGAAACTGTCTGATAGTGTTCAGGGTAAATACTTAAACCCCTTTAGAGAATTTCACACACAGATACTGTGCAGCAGAAAAAAGGATACTTATGTTTCCTAAAGCTGCTA